AATGAATTTTATTGGTTAATATATGATCATGTGATTTATATTATACATTTATTATATTATCAGGAATCCGTCGATGTAACCTATATTTTTTTACAGTATATAATACTTCTGTACCTGTTAATTCTTTTCTATATGCATCCATAAATCTTCAAGATCTACAAGCATAAAATCTAATTATTTCTAAAGAAATTGAATTTAATACTTCAGGAACTATTTTTTCTAATCCTTTAAAGAAGTAATCACAATTATTACGAGCATAACATTTAGCAGTACTCCAAAATATTTCAATAAAATTAAATTCATAATGGAACTTTGGATAAAAAATAACTTTATGTCTACAATCCTCAATAACTTCTTTAACTAATAGTTTTTGTGTTAAAAAATCTGATTGAAGTGAAAGTACTCTAACTGCATAACAATCATCTGCAATTGGAGAATATTTTTTACGTTCTGAACAAATATGATTTAATCCTTTTTCTGACCATAAATCACGTTCTTCTAAAATTAAACGAATTTCTTTTGGTTGTCTATTTGGAAGATGCATTGATTGTATTGATCCATTAGGCATTATTACATTTCTAAATTTTTCTTTACCACCCAGTTTAAGATTCATTTTTAATGCAATTAAAGCATTCTCTGCATATGCAGCATGAAATGTTGCATTATCAAATATAAATACACCAATTTTACCAGAATGCAGTTTTTCAAAAATTAAAATTGCCTTTTCAGTAATCTAATTATAAAATAAGTATCAATTAGTAATTTTAAAATAATAAATAAAAATAAAATAAAAATAAAATAAAATATTTACTTGTATAATTAAATTTTCAGTTTTCTACTAACCATTATAATTAATATCTGGTTTCATTATAACACATGCTTCATCTTATTCAAATTTTAATCAACCATCAACTTCTGTTAAAAAATCACTAACATGTAAACTTAAACCTAATCCTTTTTTATAAAGAGATTGATGTCTAGCAGATTCCCAAAAGGTTTTTTACCATCATTAGTATAAAATATTAATTCATTATGAGTTTTTAAAATATGTCTTTTATTACCTCATTCAAATTAGGTTCTATTAATGTCATAATATTATCATCTAAAGGTTTTAGTATCGACTCAAGCTGTGAGTGGACAGATATCAGGACACTTTTGTGTCATATTATCTAGTCCTATAAAATCCTTCGCTTTGCCTCAGACTAATTAAGATATCATATTTATTTTTTTTTTTAAATTTTAAATTTAATATATTTATAAATATAAATACATTATAATACCTTTTTATTTAATTCTTATTATAATAATTTATATTATTAAATATAAAAAATTTCTTTAAAAATTTTTATTATAATTTTAATTAATAATGCTTCTTATTTGTAATTTTTATATCTATTAAAGAATTATAAAATATATATTTTATCTGTGATTTTTTATATATAATATATAATTTTTTCTACTTTTCTGTATTAATTTTAAGGTTTTTATTTAAAAAAAAATGTATATATTAACTAAATTTCTAATTCTTTAACGTGTCAATTGTGTTTATCATGTTTACAAATTGTTAGTCATTTATTCGTCTAAAAGAATAAACCTAAGGTTGATTATGATAGGACTTATCTTACAGTAATTTAGTAGTTTCTCACACGTTATTACCTGTTATTAAGTTATAGTTACCCTAAGTTTGACAGGCTGGTATAAAATTAAATATATAATCTAAAAATTAGTTTACTTATAGTTTATAGTTTTCTATTCAATCTCTTTTTTTTTTTTATAAACTTTTAATAATTTAATAGTCCAAATTAAAAATATTGCTTTTATTCAAATCTAAGATTTGCTTAATATGAATTTGAATTTTTAATATAAAAAAAACAAATTTATCCAATACTCCGATTTCAAAAATGTTTAGTCATTAAAAAAAATGTTATTATTCATTCGCAATTAATCTCTAAATTTTTTAATAATAATTTTATTAAATTATAAACAATTATTTTTAGCATAACACATGATTTATAAAAAATAATATAATATTTAACACTTGTTTAATGCATTGGTCGATTGTAAAATTAAAAATTTTCTTTTGTAAAATTTATTTATATCGAAAACCATTTATTGTTAACTGATGATTTTCATAATTCGATATCTTAAATATTTAGTAAAATCCGTAAAAATGATGAATTCTTTTTATTTTAAAAGAATCAATTATAAATCTCAAAATAAAGAATTTTTTATAAAAATTTTTTTAAAGAAAAGTTTGTATTAAAAAAAAAATAAAAAAAAAGGAGAAAAAGCTATGTACACAAATGGTGGGTTGGGTTTTTTGGGGGGTATTATGTATAACGTGAGAATTGGTTTTTATATGATAGGAATTCTATTGATTTATTATTATATAATAATTTCACCTTAAAACCTCTCACAGAAAAAATTAAAAATAATCTTACAATGCACGATACCAATATAGTTATTGAATTAAATTTTTTTTTTCTGTTGTATAAAAAAAAAAAAAAAAAAAAAAAAAAGAATAAGAAATGCGTTTGTTAAAGGATCATTATATCTTTAAAGTGTCTATTCGATTAAAAAATTTTAAATACAAGAAAAAAAGGGTATGGAGTTAACGTTCCTATAAACCAAAAAGGTTAAAAAAGTTATTAACTATATATAAAACGAAGTAGAATTTTCGAATAAAATTTTACCATAATTTAATAACGCGTAAATCGAAATGTTGCAAATAAAGGAAACTTGAATCAACAAGTCTAATTATTATTTGCAGGTTTATTGTTATTATTATTTGGGCGTGATGATAAGTTAGTAGATGAGGGAGGCTGTGAGAATGAATGAGTCGTCGTATGAGCAAAAAAGTGAGTCGAGGGTGAACTAACTGATGATAAAGGTGTTTGTGTAGCCTCAGAAGGATTAATTCTAGGATGATGAATTAGCTCAGGACGATGATTCATCGGTGGTGGTTGGAGCGGATGATAATGATAACTTAAAGTGTTAGGTGATGGTTGAGATAATAAACGAAAGCCAGGTGATGGAGGATGTAATTGATGTACCGGTGGAAGTTGATGCGGATGAGGAGGCGGTGGAACTGATCTAATGTCATGCTGACCACTCGAATCAATTACTGCAGATTTTTGCGAGAAAATATGATGTGGCTGATGTGGTTGGTGTGGTGGTGGTTGCGGTTGGGGAGCCGAAAACATATGATTTTGTGCAAAATTTATATGCATTCCGTTATTCGTCGATATAGACATACTGGAAGGATGAACTGGTGGTAAAGGATGTGTATGAGACAATCTAGTATCATGTGTCTTTTCGTGTTTACGAAGAGAACGTGAATGATAATATGCCTTATTACATCCTTTAAAGGAACATATATACGGACGATGATTGGAATGTGTTTTTACGTGTGTCGTCAAGGAATCAGGTCTTGAAAATCTCTTTCCGCAACCATTTACAGAGCAAATAAATGGTCTTTCTCCCGTATGTGTTCGTAAATGATTATACATTTTGTGCCGTTTTGTGAACGGTTTTTGACCTCTCGTACATCCCTCCCAATCACAAGAATACGTGGCCTTAAAATTATAAATTTTAAACAACATAAGCAATTAGGCAAATTATTAAATTTCACTTTTCAAATCAAATAAAATGTAACTTACTTTTCCACTGCCGATATGTGAATCACCAACATGTGAGATAAGCAAATCCAATGAAACAAGTACTTTTGTACATCCCCTCCACATGCATTTATGTGTATTCTTTTTATCCTCCTCACCTTCTTGTTTGACGGCGGAAGGGATCGACGGAGAACTTTGAGTGGAATAACCAGCCACTCCAGGTTCAGACTGATTAGCTTCTCTTTTTACGTCTTCCATTTCATCCACAAGAGTAATGGGTGAAACTACAACAGTTAAATTAACTTAATTATAAATTTTTTTTTGAAATAATAAATAAATAAATAAATAAATATATTTTATATATTTATTTGTAATACATAATATTAACACATCAATACCATCAGAATCCAGACTCGATCTCCTTGAACTAGAAGAACGCGCTCGTTTGTGGCCTCTTGAATCAGATGTATGATCCTTTAGATTTTTTTCATGATACCTTAATTTTGCAATTAACTGATTTTTCGTCATATTAGGATGTTCATACTGTGCTAATCGAATCAAAAGTTGCTCAAATGACATTTCTTCAAAAGTAGTAGATGACTCATTTAATGGAACACAAGATTCAACGGATTGTGATGGTTCAATTTTAATCGAATCTAAATCTTCATTGATAATTTGTCGTGAAATTGAAATAGGTGAATTCGATAAAGTATTGGACGAATTTCTCCTAATTTGATTATCATGATCTTTTAAAGTATCACTATTCTGAGATGTTGCATAAATTGACTCGGGGGAATTGATTGGATCCGATTTACCGGAATCTTTCTGTGGTGATGGTAAAGATCCATTATGTGATGATGATGCATTGTCAACTAAACTTCCTAAATCTTGTTGTGGCGATTTTACGGAAACCTCACTGGACTCTGAACTTTTTGTCTCTGAAGTTAATGAATCGGACGGTCGTTGAGATTGTTGTTGCGAAGGAATTTCAGGTGATGATGGAGTCATCTCTGTTGTATCTTCATTCGATTTTTGTGATGACTGCTCCAATAGTGGATTTTCATTCACAAAGGTCAATTGTGGTGGCGGCGGCGATGTCTTATGATCGTTATTTAGAAAATTAGAATCTACTACTACTGAATCATTTACAATTTGCTCATCATCTACATTAATCATTTGTATTGAAGGATTTGGAACTACGACATTTGTAGCACCATTAGGTTCAATATTCCAATTAGAGGTAACTGACGGAATAATTGGATCTGGGTTCAATAAATTAGTCATTGGTGGTTGAGATTCGGTGGAAGCCGGCAGAATGGAAGAATCGATTTGAGTCGTTTGCATGATTGACGCGCTAACGGCAGAAGCCTGTAAATTAGCGGCTAACTGGTTATTATTCACGATTTCAAAACATAACCGCCTATTGTGCTCAGCTAATTGGGCATTCGTCATCGACCCAACGATCTGAGCGTTAGCCAAAGATTCCACAAGTTGCATAGGATCGTTACTGACAACGGATTGCACAGCAGTTGCGGTACTTTGATCACTTGAAACGGCGGGGTTATCGAGAACCAAAACCATCGATGATTGATCAGGGTCAGCGGTAGCGGACAAAGGTTGAGATTCAACAGCTTGTTGAATTTGAGAAGTATCTATCGTTTGAACTGTTGGCCGAGCTGATTGGACTTGGGATTGAGACACCTCAGCGACCACTTGAGCCACTAGAGCTTGTTGAGCGACCGCCGCAGCAGCAGCCTGCGCGGCTTGAACTTGTGCGGCCTGAACTTGCGCATGTACCTGTGCTTGTACCTGTGCTTGAACCTGTGCTTCTGCTTGAGCTTGTTGAGCCTGGGCCACAGCAGCTACCGCCGCGGCTTGAGCAACTTGAGCGGCCTGCACCTGTGCCTGTACCTGTGCCTGAACTTGAGCGTCAGCAGCTTGTGCTTGAGCTTGGGCCACGGCAACTGCCGCCTGAACGGCGTGAGCTTGAGCCACTTGAACTTGGGCAACGGCTTGGGCTTGAGCTACTTGAACTTGAACTTGAGCTTCAGCTTGAGCCTGAGCAGCTGCCGCAGCAACCGCGGCGTGTACTTGAGCCTGAACCTGAGCATCAGCTTGAACGATCGCCTCACGACGAGTCTGTACCGGATCATTGTCTATAATCATTTGTTCAATTATCGAAGGTGATTGTTTTGGTTGGTCTTGAGGTTGATGAGTATCCACCATTATATTTGAAAACATGGCTCGCATCTCATGTTGAACTTGTGCCTGAACCTGTGCTTGAACTACTGCCTGAACAGATGCCAATGTATTTACAGCGGTCACTTGATCTATTGGTTGCGGCGGTCTATTTAAATCTATTAATGCGGGGGTAACAGAAGACGGCATTGAAGATATTATTTCATCTCTTAAAGCTTGATTTATAATTTCGGCCGCTTGTTGTTGTTGTTCTTGTGTAGAAGATATTACATCTTGGGTTGAAACATTTGTAGAAGTATCAATAGTTAGTTGAGGTCGAGAATCTTGTTGAGATAAGGATTGATGATCTAACAAATTTGCAGTGTTATGGACCAAAGGAGGAGGAGGAGGCAATGAAACGCTCGGTGATACGTCAGTTATTGACATTTGATTTGAATTTGTATCTAAAGTGTTTGACGTAGCAACAGTACCCGGGTTTATAACCAATACTGGTAATTGTTCTTGATTAACCAGCATAGTTGCCGTCAATTCTTGAGAAGAACATGTCACGTCATTTAATGTGACAGCAGTTGTGGTTGTGTTTGGTGGTATACTTGAGTCTATTGTGACAACCGATGACTGTTGATGTGGTATAAGTATTAGTTGAGTTGTAGGACTATGTAAAGTGTCTAATTCGGAGTTTGTAATTTGTTGCTGTGATGTATTTGTGAGATTTAGACCGTTTGAAGTATCACTTGGAGTATTTGTGTTTTGAGTCATCGTTGTTGGTGATATTTGAGCAGTATATTCGTAATTGTGTGATGCCATTTCTATTGAAAAAAAAAAATTTAAAATTAACTTTTAATTAACTGTATTTGTAACCTGTCAACCGGACGAAAATGTTTGATGGATAAGAGAAAAAAATAAATTATATAAAAATAAAATATAAAATAAAAAAAAATTGAGAAAATGTATTTACTTTGAATTGATTAACACAAAAAAAAAAAAAAAAAAAAAAGAATAAGAATATAATATAATATAATATATAATTTAAAAAATAAAGAAGATTAAAATTAAATTTTTTTTAGTCTAAAAAGATTTAAAAAAAAAAAATTATCATGTCTGCTTTTGTTTAAAAAAGTTTGGAGAAATACATTGTGACCGTTCTTGTACTACCGAAACGAAGCCCCTGATTTCAAGATACTTTATTAAGGAAATAGAATGTTTAATTTTTTTTTTTTTTTATCATCAAAGTAATTTTCAAAAAGAAATTATTAAACTTGATTAAATTACAATTTAAACAAGTATAATCAATCAATTACTCAAAATGAAAAAAAAAAACTTATATTGTGATTTTACATCATTCTTTTTTTAATCAACGGGAAAATACGGTATTTTGATTTTTTTTTTTTACTTTTTTAGAAATTTCAGTTTTGTGTAAAAACAACCAAATTATCATTTTTTTTTTTTTTACTTCAAAACGAACTGGCTATATTTATTTTTTAATGATCATTTTTTAATTTCGATTGAAATGTTCAACAATTGACGCTAACTCCTTTACATCACGCTAAAATATAAAAGTCTAGACAACTTTTAATTTTGAGACTAAAAGCTATGCCCTTCATTAAACCTATATTAAATAGAAGATCCGCGATTTTTAGAATTTCCCTCGTGCTTTTTAGTTTGTCGTTCAAATGCCTTCTGAATTAGAGGAATAGAGACTTGTCAAAAAATACAATAGTTTTACGCACAAACCACATTATACAAATTAAGTAATAATTTTCGATTTCTCGCAGAAATTTAATAGGATTTGTAAAATAAAGCGCTTTAAAACATTTCATCATTTTCCATTTACTTGACTTTATATACTTTGTGCGAAAGATGAAGAAAAGCCGAAGAGAAGCGAGGGAACATTATTTTCCAAATTGGTGAATTAAGAATAATATTAATAATTCCCGTTGGTGTCTTCTCATTGGTAATTTTAAGTTTTTGACATCCCCGACAAGTTATAAATTTCT